TCAAGGTCGTACAGCCAGGAAGTAGCAGAGCAGGACTCAAATCATCTGATCCCAGACAGTAGGCTTTCTGGTCTTCACAGCACAACCTTCCTCCCTCCTGCCTTGGCAGACCTTAGAACTGGGCTGACATCGACAAATGGGGCCACTGGAAGGCACCAGCCCTGGAACAGAAGCAGTGCTGGAAGGAAGCCCAGTCTGGGAGCCACAGGAGCAAAGCCAGTGGTGGGAGGGAAGGAGCGCCACGGCTCAGGGTGCAACCACACAAACGGGCGGAGTCTCATACCCACGTGGCTAGAGAGTGCGAGGGTGAATGTCAGCTGTCCACTTCACTGGACTGAGGGAGGCCAAGGTGGCTGGCGAAGCATTGTTTCCGGGTGTGTCTCTGGGGGTATTTTCAGAGGGTGTGAACTTGGGAGTTAGTGGACGGGAAGAAGAAGACCCACCCTCAATGGGGGTCTTCCAGTCAGCTGCCAGGATGGCCAGAGGAAAGCAGGCAGAGGAGGGGTATATTCAGCTTACTGAGATTCCTCTCCCCTACCCCACCCCATCTCTCTCTCCTTTCCCACGCGGGATGCTTTGCTTTCTCTCCTCCTGCTCTTGGAAATCAGACGCCAGTCCTTTGGCCTTTTGACTCTGGGACTTGCAACATCAGCCTGCTTGGGGCTCTCAGGCCTTCAGCCTCAGATTCGGGGCTGCCCTGTGGGTTCACCTGCCGGCTCCTTCCTGGTTTTGAGATTTCAGATTTGGACTGAGTCAAGATACCAGCTTTTCTCATTCCCTATCTTGCAGAAGGTTTGACATGCAACTTTGCCTTTGCAACTGTGTGAACCAATTCTCCCTAACAAATAATAAATTCCTATATAGACATATATGTCTCCTGCTGGTTCTGTCCCTTGGAGAATCCTAATACAAAGAGGGTAGGGAGGAAGACAGGTGGCCATGTAGAAAAGGGAGAGTCCACCTGACCGCAGCTGGGGACCCTGGGTCAGAAGACACTCAGCGCTGCAGGTGGTCACTATCAGGGAGGTATATTGGTCAGATTATCTTGCTATTCAAAGGTGGTTCCAGGACCAGCAGCATCACCTGGGAGCTGATTAGAAAAGCAGCATCTCAGGCCCTCCCAGACCTCCTGATTCAGAATCTGACAGTTAACAACAGCCACGCATGTTTCTTATGCACATTAAAGATTAAGAAGCAATGGGTCAGAAGGTAGCTGGTCCGCAGCCATAAATTCAGGGAAAGCATAGAACAGTGGTCCTTAACCTTGGCTGGACTTGTTATCCAGATCCTTGTCCAGATTACAGTGACAATTACAAAATCCGGCCCCCAGGGTTGCTTGTGAAGATCGGCAGTCCAGCACCCATGAATGCCCTTGTAAACTGTAACATGCTCTAATGGTGGTACCTACTCTTTTTGCTTTTCACATCACATTTCCTCTGCTGCTTCAAATCAAAGGAAGTGAAGCCTCATTTCTTCAGGTTTTCTCATTTAGTTTAACCCTATTTCACCCCAAAAACTTCCCAGAAGGCACAGAGGAGAAAATCACCCCCTGGGTCTGTCTCGCTTCTGCTGAGTCCCTGCCTGATGCAGTTTTTCTCATCCCCCCTCCGCACCCCATGGTACGTGACATACTGCAGGAAGAGGAGAAAACACCAACAGGTCTGATCTCCCAGGCGTACACATTTACAAAGCAGTCAGCACTTTTAACTAAGAGTCTCGTCCGGAATACACACAGACATTTATCATGTGGGCAGAGCCTAGCGCTGTGGTTGGATCTCAACGTGGAGTCTCTTCCTTCATGTCAGATCAGAATGGGCCAACTGCAAACTGAGACAGGAGGGTCTGCTGGAAAAAACAGAGACCTGGAGAAGACCTATGTTTAAGCCTTAATCCCAGTTCTGCCTCTAACTTACTTTATATGATTAGATGAATTATTTAATCACTCTGTCTGCGTTCCCACCTCTCCTCCTGCTGTCAAACCTCAAATCTCTATTAACCATTGGAACTTTGTTAGAAAGTGATGAATCGTCCATCCAAAGGCATGTAATAAAGAATGTCTTCTATTTATAGATATTTGATCATATTTAAAGCACTTGATAAGATGATAAACAAAGAAAATATTGTCCCCATTTTATTAATTTAAAAACTGAGATTTGGGTTGATTTGTAAAATTACCCAAAGTCTTGACATTTTACATGAAAGGCAGTGTCAAAAACAAATCCAACCTCTGCCCCCTATGCCAGTGCCCTTCCTACATTGCTAACTTCAGCGGAATGCCATTGCACGCATCTATGAAAAACCTATTTCCATTTCCACCTGCACAGAAAAAAGTAATGGTGGCAGAAGGGCCATGTCCACTTTGATTGGTCCTGCTTTAGAACTGAAGGACAACTTTGGTTTCCAAATAATGTCACTGCTAGAAAGAAAGTTTAATGTGGATCTCTTACTAAGGAGTCTTTCTGATTAGAGGGGAGTGGGAACAAGGCCAAGGAAAATGTAATGGGAGTCAGCTGGAGATGCAGGTGTGCAGTCTTACAAATTACTCAACAATTCTTCACAAGAGCCCCCCAAAGACCCCACAGCACAACGAGAAGACGGGTGCTCCACTCCACCCAAGAAACACACAGCCAGGAAGTCCTGCTCCCCTTAAAATTGGATCTAGGAGGTTTGATTTCAAAAGCCATGAGTGGCAGGGACTTGCCAAGCTCACAATAAGCCCCTTTCTTTGACAACTGCCAGTAGTCATGCTTATACCTTCTCATACACAGACACACAACCATATTGACTGGACTAGGGTGGTCACATGACCCAAACCCGTCCAATTCTCTCTCTCCCTGGGAGTCTGAAATTAAGACTTAGAGGCATCCAGTCCATCTGAAATGGGTACTTGGATAAACAAGAGGAAAACTCAGAAGCTACAAGGCATCCATTTTATACCCTGCATGTGAGGAGCAAAGTCATATGTGCACCTTGAACAGGACTTCATTTACAATTAATGTTTCTTTTACAGGGAAGCAGAGGAACAGAATGAACAAGGACTATGGGCTCCTAAAAGCTTCAGAACTCCTGTTCCCACCTCTTAAGAGGCCCAGCTGTCCTGGGATACTGTAAGATATCATGCATCACAATGTACTCTTTCCCATCCCCCCAACTGGCTGTAGTTGGTGTCTATTATTAACCACCCAAAGGACCTTGAATGAGACACTAGGAAAAAGAAATTACCCACCATCTGAAGACTGCTTGGCATGGCTATATGCTACCAGAAAATGTCTCACTCACCCTGCCTCCTCCAAAGGAGCAGACAGCAATGAGATTTAGAAAAGCATTGGAAGGCACGCTTGGAGCCCATGGACACTTCATGAAGTGGTTTAAGGCAAACAGAACATGACGAATAAGTAAACTAAACTCATTCCCAGACCTAATATTTTTAAGTAAAATAAAATCATGTCCACTTAGAGCTTAAAATGGCATTTGGCTAGAAGTTCCTGACAAAGTATCACCAAACTTCTCTCTAAATTACTTATTATACAGAAAAATGACAAAAACTCACAACAATAATGAAAATGAAGACTAACAACCTGTTACCAGAATCTAAAAGGAATTCCTGCTAACCAAATAAAGCTGCTAAAGCTGAGCTGCATTGAGACAAACAGTCCACACTTTGCCTTATAAAACAGAACGGCCCCATCATCCTGAAAGATGATAAACATTTTCTTTCTCTCCTGCTTTCTACACCCCATTCAGAGACCCAGGACCAAGCCAAATGAAAACCTGGCTCTCTACTATGGCTGCTACTCTTTGGAGGAGCCAGAAAACTATTCCCTCTCCATTGATCTATCTACGTCCATTCATAGAATGCAATTACTAGGAAACCACAGAGCAGGAAGGGGAAGAGGACTAGCAATGGAACATCATGTTTTGGAAGGCATATTTTCCACACAACATGCCTTATAGGAAGCACAAAGGTAGTTTGTGCTTCCTATAAGGAATTTTCACATCCCCCATCAGTTCTGGATGTTAGAGAATAAGCAGAAGTAGGGAAAGATCCCATGACAGTTCAGCAGGGCTGCACAAGATGAATGTCTTCCAATTCTGGGGACTGTTAGGAGCTGTGCACCACAACTGCCCTTCAACTACAGACCTAGGAATAGGGCAGTGAGCAAAGCCAAGGACAACCCGCACAATCTACACTTCCTCTTTTAGCAAGCAAGCACTAAGGCTCCATGGAACTCTACTTGCTTAAAGGTAAATAACATGCCAGGTGGGAAGTGGGGATATAGGGGAGGAAACCTTTATGAGGCCTATGGAAAAACAACAGCACACTTACCTTAAGAGAATAGGGCAAACAGAGCATCACCCAGAAGACTAAGAAAAAAAGCACACCTCTGAAGATAACTTACTATAGAAACCAGAAGAAAATGTTTTAAAATTGACATTTATAATATAAAAACATAATATGGCCCTATGAAATTGAAACTGAAAACCATACACACACACACACACACACACACACACACACACACAAATACATATAGATCTAGAAAACAAGCTGAGTTAAACTGATAACAGGATAAGCTTCAAAGACTGGCATGTGAGATGACATTTTAGGTTCTTACAAAAATGTGATGGGGGCCGGCTCCCTGGTTCATGTTAGACCTAATTGTGATTCTTTTAAAATAAACAGTGAAATATTTTTTTTTAAATCAAATAAACAGTGAAGCAAGACTTTTAAGATATCAAGAGAAAGCAGTTAGCCAAAAGAGTGGAGTTTTAAAAAATATGTCATCCAAAACAATATTAAACAAAATTCAGATATTATCCACTCAGACTTCAGCCCCTTACTACTTGTAAGTGTTCTTCCCTCTGCAAATGTCTGAGCAAATCAGACTAGCACACATCCACTGGGGAAGAATAGTATTCTAAAGCTTCTTCTTCTTTTTTTTTTTTTTTTTTTTTGCAGCAATGAAGGGACTGTTAGAATTCAGTAATGATTTTATTACCTCATTTGAGATTATTTCATTGTCCAAGTTATTCTCTTTTTTCCATAGCAACAGTAAATGAGTTAAGAAAGCAAAGTCCAGCAGTTCTCATACAAATATTGCAAGAATTTTGTTAATATTTTGGGTACGTGGTGATTTCATAATATGTATTATTAGAGTACTTTTAGCTGCTGTACAAATATATCCAACATTTGCATCTTGGCTGAAGTATAGTAAAACCTTATCTGTCACAAAAGAGCTCAAGGCAAATGTTCCCAGTTGGCAAGAACAGCTCTTCGTCCTGAGCACCCAGGCTAACAAAGGTTCTGCCACCTTCACCGTGAGGCCTCCAAGGTTGCCACTGTCCTCTCATGGCACTCAGCTGGAATGGGGGGAAGAGAACAGAGGATAACTCATTAAAGGCTCTTATGAGTAAGTCCTGTATGTCACACATATCACCTCCATCCACATTCTATTAACTAGAATACAGTCTCAGGGTAACTATTAGGGTCTTCAGGCTTATGAAAAAGAATTTGGCCAATGGTCTCCAAGAAAAAATATAAAGGAAGCTGGTTGTAATAAGAAAAAGATATTCCCAAGAAAATAAATTATTAAACAATAATTAAAAGCCATATATAGGAAGCAGTAAATGAGTGGAATGGACATGACAGAAAATTAAGTGTTATAGATTGCAAACTGGAAGAACGCTTCCAGAATGCAGAGAAAGAGCACCAAGAATTAAAACTATCTTATTTCCTTAATTCTAAGATGTCTGTGTTGCCACATCATCACTTTTGAAATCGGGCCAAGTCTTGCAATCACTGGCAACTCATAATCACCCTGAGCCAGGGAGCTGCCATGGTGAGGCCATCAGGGCCTGGGCATGGGTGAACTTGGTCTCAGCTGTTCATGTTGTTAGCACTTTAATTGAGTTGTATACATTGTTGCTATTACATGTGGGTTTAATTGCCATTTAAAATGTCTTTTAAAAGATTACACCATGGTTTGGCATTGAAACAAGAAGTTATTATGTATGCAGTAAGGCGTGGAATTCAAGCAGCAGGATGTAATTTGATATTACTGAAGTAAATGTCTATTATTGGACCAACCACTGCAATTCTTCTTATTTTTTTAGAAAAACTAAGTGCTTGACAGGACCCAAGAAAGGAAGGTATCCTTAAGTAGAAGTTGTGTTATGTTTTGTAACTGAGACGCATGCAAAAAGAATTGCCTGTCACATGCCAAACAATGCAACTGAAGGCAGGAGCAACTGCCAAGTCCCTCAAAATAGATGAAGTCTATCAAAATAAGAGAGAGAATGGTGTGAGCAACTTACCAATTTCACAGGACTGTAATCATGGCATTATGTCACAGTTTAATTGGCAGCATTTTTTCTTCCTTAGTTGAACATATAATAATAGTGCTTCTTAAAACCAATACTAGCTTAGATTCAATAAAATACAGTAATTTAAAAAGAAGACGATAGCTGTGGAAGACCAAGAATAGAGATTGAGCCTAAGAGTTATGTTTCTGAAGAAGAGTCTAGAACAATCAAAAGAGAAACAATAATTGAAGATATAATTAAAGAAAACTTCCCAAAAAGGGAGAGGAAGATGAGAAACTGAGAGGAATGAACTGGATTCACCAGGTTCCAGGTAAAAGTAACCAAGAGACACTCAAATCCAGAAATATTCTAACAAGTGTTTAAATGATAAGCAATTTTTAAGTGTTTTCTATGTATATTGAGACAAAGGAAGGAAGGAAGGAAGGAGGGAGGGAGGGAAGGAGGAAGGGAGGGAAGGAAAGGGGAAGAGAGGGTGGGAGGAAGGAAGCAAGGAAGGGAGGGAGGGAGGGAGGGAGGAAGAAGGGAAGGAGGGAAGGGAGTGAAGAAGAGAGGGAGGGAGAGAGGGAGGGTAAAAATTGTGCTGACCTTTGTCTCTGTTACAATGGAACAGTAGCTTACATAGTTTTGATAGGAAAACGTTTAGATGAAAATTTTACTCACAAATAAGTTTTAGTTTTTGAGGACAGACAACCAAAAGAGCCCAGAGTGTCTGCCACTCACATATTCTTTAAATTCACTTTAAAATATATTTCCACTGCCCAAGTGATGACTTAAAATTACTCAAGAATGGGAAAAACTGAGTGTCAGAGGACTAGCAGTGAGTGTTGAAGCCATTACACACAGAGAGTTGGTCTAAAATAATTGTTTAACTATGGTTACAAGACAGAATATGTGTCAAAAATACCCTAGAACCAAGAGACATACAACATCAAAAAATAACGTATGAATAATCCAGATCCCAAGTCCATAAACCAATAAACTTTCAAATAGGAAAGGAGAACAGAGGGAAATAAAAGTGTACAGAATTCATCCTACACAGTTGTGAGCTTAAAAATATCATTTTATTCTTGACTTTAACAACCAGAGAAATATTGATTGGTGCTCACATTCATTTTTAGAAACTCATTACGTAGGAGAGTAGGGGCCTGTCCTTTAAAAGATAAAACCTCACTCCTGCCTCAAGATATTTACAGTTTGAAGATCTCTAACCCACATACAGGATACGTTTTAATTTGTTACAAGAATAGGCAAATGTCAAATGCCTTGAAGAATTTAAAGTTTTGTGGAGAATCAGTCCTCAAATGCTGTTTCAATGTTAGTGCCCGCTAGACTTTTCCATTCCTTCTGGTAAAGCCTCCTAAAACCTGGCCTGCAAGGACAGCAGTTCCTGGTCACTGTGGTGCCCTCTGTACCTGGTGGCAGCATCCTCTTGACATCAGTGCGCATTGTGACAATCCACAAACTGACTGCCCTTGTTTAACAGCATCACTGGTGTCACTGAGAACGAGACACACAAATTGGAATTGCAGGGAAGCTCTCAGGGCCACCATCGTTACACACACAGCATTGAGACCTGAAATCAGTACACAAATACCAGATACTTTCCTTCCGGTATTTAATTTAATGCTCACCATCACCATCCAAGTAGGCGGCATTTTTCCCATTTTACAGAAGAGAAAACTGAGGTTCAGAAAGGCTGTTTTCCAGAATCACAGATCCAGTAACAGAAAGCAGAGAGGGCTCTCCCAGTCAGGAATTTAGGGCTCAAAAGTTCAGTGTACCCTACCACAGTATTTTCTTAATTCAAAGAAAGAAGGTACAAGGAACGGAAATGGAGAGAGTAATTTTACGATTTATTACAGTACTAGTACAGATGCTGCCTCTTTTACAAAATAATAATCCAATGAACCGAACTAATCATACTGTGCTAGGGCCGCATTAACCCTCTCTAAAACATTCACGAAGTGGATACAGGGCTGCTCCAGGGGCAATGAGCTTTCTCTCTAAAGTAAAATTCCCAGGGAGTGCTCTGGTCTCCGGGGCTTGATTAGCAAGTACCAATTAAGGCGCCTTCAGTCCTCTTTTTGTCTTGAGTACTAAGGGCTAACCCTTCCCTTCCCGACAAAGAGGAGATTAAATCATTCACTCGCCCTAAAGAGTTCAAGTTCTAACGCAAGCCTCCCTCCCAGGGCCTTGAATAGATAGGACAAAAGAATGCATCTCTAATAGTGAAATTTTAGACGTCAGCAAAGGAGATATTTTTAAGTCACATGTAGACACACAAGTTTTCCACATCACACCTTACTGAGACAGTGGTTCTTCATCTGGTGCCGAGGACCGTGGCTCACCTCGGTGTTACTCAACTTAACGTCTTGCCCCGCCACAAACCATGGGTACAGAGCAAACCAGGGCGTGCCAGGCCCAGGAGACTGGCCCAACACCGGCGCCCAGGCCTGCAACCCCTGGGAGGCGTGGGCTGCCACTGCCAGTACCCCGAGTCTGTCGCTGCGTCCCCGCGGCTCCCCCTTTCCGGGGTCCGCCCGGCCAGCCCAGGAGCCGGCAGGAGGGACCACGCCCTCCCGGAGCCGCCCGCGTCCCCGCCCCTCGGGACGCACCGCTGCTGCCAGAGGGCCGCTGCTGCCACCTCCCGGCCGCGTCTCCCCGAGCCGCGCTCAGCCGCCACGCCCCAGAAACCCGACTGGAGGACGGTCGGGACCAAGTCCACTGGGTCTGGGAGGTGGTGGCTCTCCCGGCAGGGGCTTCCCACGGAGGGAATCGTCTTCCCTTCGGGTCGGTCACGCAGCGCACCCAGATTGGAGTTGGAGATGAGCGCGCCCAGCACCGACCTCCCCCAAGGTTCCAACAGACACGTGCTCCACGCCCCTTCCCCGCCTGGGGATCCGAAAAAGCCACACAGCCCGGCCCCAGGCACAACTTATAACAACCAGGACCCCCAAATCTAGGCAGGCCGGCTCCACCTGCGCCCTCCTGGCTGCCTGAAAGAACGCGCGTTACAGCAGAGATCTTTGAACTCAGATTCAAATGTCAGACCCACTGAATTAGAATCCCCAGGGCAGAGACACAGGAAACTATTTCTGCAAATTTCCCCCAGGTGATCCTAATGGTCAGGCAGGTTGGGGACCCTCCCAGTCACAAAATCTAGATGACTTTTTTAGGTTACCCATACATGCACAGAAACACACACCCCTGGGTCTATGAAAAGGCAACAATATAAGCTTGCGAGCTTGAAATGAGAAAGACTTCATGACAGCTCATGACCTAGCCCCGGAGTTTCCAACCTTGTCTGTTTATCACGCCCTTGATGTCTCAATAATTTTTTTCACAGTAACCCTAGTCATAAAGAAATACCTAACTGTTCCTTGTATTAAGTAGCTAGACCCAAAGTAGGAAGTATTTCTGTCTTAAACAACTTTGTAGCTACTAGAAAAAATAATACATACAAACTAGAAAAAAAAATTACCTTATTCTTAGCCACAGCTTCTCACTAATGGGATGTGTGTGCTTGTTGGGCACTGCGCAACTTCTCAAACCTTGGAATGAGATTAGTCACAGCCGTCCTCATTTCCTAATCTATACTGATTTTCCCATGGTACTTGTTTTATGTCATAGCAAGTGACAAAAACTGAAAATGCAGCTTCATAAAAATATGGTTTTATCAAAAAACATGTAGGGCAGGCCAGGCGTGGTGGCTCATACCTGTAATCCCAGCACTTTGAGAAGCCAAGGCAGGTAGATCACCTGAGGTCAGGAATTCAAGACCAGCCTAGCCAGCATGGTGAAACCCCATCTCTACTAAAAATACAAAAATTACCTGGGATTGGTGGCAGTTGCCTGTAATCCCAGCTACTCGGGAAGCTGAGGCAGGAGAATCCCTTGAACCTGGGAGGCAGAGGTTGCAGTGATCGAGATTACCCCACTGCACTCCAGCCTGGGTGAGACAGTGAGACACCATCTCAAGAAAAAAAAAAAACATAGAGCATCTAATGCTGAATCTTCGAGCTATCCTCCACTAGTTA